TGCATAATTTTATAAAAGGAATGAAAATGGGCCAAAATCGGTCAAAACCATGGGCTATAGTCCATGCTTGTTACCAGAAAATGGCCAAAAATGACTTATTTTACATCTCTCATGAATAATTCATAATTTTATAAAAGGTGTGAAAATGGGCCAAAATCGGTCAAAAATGACCTATTTTACATCTGTCATGAATAATGCATAATTTTATAAAAGTTATGAAAATGATACAAAATCGGTCAAAACAGTCCATGCTTTTTGCCCAAAAATGGCCTAAAATGACCTATTTTACATCTGTCATGAATAATGCATAATTTTATGAAAGGTGTGAAAATGGGCCAAAATCGGTCAAAACCATGGGCTATAGTCCATGCTTTTCCCCCAAAAATGGTTAAAAATGACCTATTTTACATCTGTCATGAATAATGCATGATTTTATAAAAGGTGTGAAAATGATACAAAACCGGTCAAAACCATGGTCTATAGTCTATGCTTTTTGCCCAAAAATAGCCAAAAATGACCTATTTTAAATCTCACATGAATAAYGTATAATTTTATAAAAGGTGTGAAAATGGGCCAAAATCGGTCAAAAATGATCTATTTTACATCTGTCATGAATAATGCATAATTTTATAAAAGGTGTGAAAATGGGCCAAAATCGGTCAAAAGCATGGGCTATAGTCCATGCTTTTTGCCCAAAAAAGGTCAAAAATGACCTATTTTAAATCTCACATGAATAATGCATAATTTTATAAAAGGTGTGAAAATGGGCCAAAATCAGCCAAATCCATACGCTATAGTCCATGCTTTTTGCCCGAAAATGGCTAAAAATGACCTATTTTACATCTGTCATGAATAATCCATAATTTTATAAAAGGTGTGAAAATGGGCCAAAATCGGTCAAAACCATGGGCTATAGTCCATGCTTGTTACCAGAAAATGGCCAAAAATGACCTATTTTACATGTGTTATGAATAATGCATAATTTTATAAAAGGTGTGAAAATGGGCCAAAATCGGTCAAAACCATGGGCTATAGGCCATGCTTTTTGGCCAAAAATGTTCAGAAATGCTTTTTTGGCATCCCTTATGAATAATGCATAATTTTATTATTGGTGTGAAAATGGGCCAAAATCGATCAAAAGAATGGGGTATAGTTCATGCTCTTTGTGCAAAATGGAGAAAAAAGTTTGAAAAGACTTGAAAATGGTCCAAAATCGATCAAGCCCATGTGCTCTAGGCCATGGATTTTAGCTTGAAATGACATGAAGGTAGTTTTTCAAACAATTATTTGCCCTTGCACTTTCCCTAGTATTCCTAAACTATTGTATTGACGGTTTTACTTTCTTGATATGATATGTTATGCATGATTCTCAGTAATATAAGCATCATATAGATCAGATTATTAACATTTGTGGAAATAAGGATATCAAATTCCTCTCGTAAAAGATACCAGATAAACAAACGATTAATGTGTATATTGAAGCTTAATCAAGGGAAAATTAGTTCTTATTCCTTTTTTAGGCGCTCATGAGTTTTATTTTAAACTTCTGTACTCTGAACTCAAGGGCTCCGGCATTTGTCCGAGCATGTGCAAAATGAATGTCAAAGCTATTGGGTGGATGATGTCTTCCTGGGAACTTAAATCTTTGGTTTTTAACGAATTTAATCAGTTATATTTATTGACCTAATTTGATTGTGGTCAAATTACGTGTAAACTATGACACATTAAATGTAAAATCTTGATTTCCGGTCGGGAAGCTCGTGAAATGTTGACGAATGGAGTATCCTATAACTGAAAGAAAAAACATTAAAATGAAATACTACTACTAATGAAGAAACAACAAACGCGCGCGCGTGCTGTGTACAGTTATAAAGCACGCTAGGAGAAGTACGACACATAGTGGACTCCACACAGCACATCAAGCCGCAAGTTTTTATTTCTTTTATAAAATACGAATTACAATGACCGTCATTGTGGATATAGGAATGACGCAACTGAAAGTGAGGGCTCGTGCTGTGTGCTCTCATAAAGCACGCGCTTCCAAACAATCACAACGCGATATTTATAACAGTTATTTCATAAATGCATTTCGAAAGACAAAACAATCGTAAACACCCTGTGAAATTACCGAAGTGGGTGATTTTCTAATCACTGGAAATAGGAACAGAAACCGCAAACACAGATGGCTTGCCTTTGGGCTAGTTACTATATTGTCTAAAGGTAAGATATAGCAGTAGATGGAAGCAAATAATTTGAAAAAGACCGAAGACACGTCAAGTCTACTCAGATCAATTCTCCCTCTGTATTTGCACGATCAGCTACAGGTATCCCAAAAATAGACTTCCTTAGCTCAAGTTGAATTTTATCTCATCTCAGACCACGTCTACCCAAGGTAAAAAAGTCAAATGAATTTGACATGATAGCATAATAAAGCGACAGATAAGTAGTGATATTCAACGATATAGTATGCTTACGTAGATAGGGTTTCTGGTGAGGATGACTCCTTGCTGCTTTTCAATCTCTGCCAAAACGTGCTCGTCTGGTGTTGTGACAATTCGCCAACGCTGTACCAGAACATTATGAATGATTAGATTTGTCGTTAGAAAAGCATGAACTACACCATTTATTCGATCTTAGTAACTTACTCAAAAATATTTTGAGCTTTGAACGTCGGGTTTTGACTTTGTTCCGGGGTCATGATTCGAGCTCAAAATGTATTGTAATGGGAGTAGGGAGGAGGGAGGAGGGAGGAGGGAGGAGGGAGGAGAGAGGAGGGAGGAGGTGGTGGGAAGAAGGAATAGGGAAGAGGGAGGTGGGAGGAAAGAAGAGGGTGGAGGGAGGAGGGAGAAGGAGGGCAGGTTTGAGACAGGGTGTGTCCGTTTGGATCGAGACTATTAAGATCGGGGCTGTTTACACGCAAATCTTCCTTAAATCCTCATTATCTTTCGTAGAAAGAGTTAGAGTTTACTAATTAGCGGCAGATAACATAATTGTGAAACATCGTAGTCCCCTACGTCCTCCCTGCGTCTTCATTCAGGGCAGCGCCATCTTGTTTCCTTCCTTGGGGCATGATAGGATTATTAACATGGGAATCTCGGTCGCGCGAAACAAGGGATTCCCAAATAAACTGATTCCCAAACCAGATTCCGGGACACAAGGGCAGCATTTACGTGTCCTAATTAAACCCAATGGGTAAGTCAAAGTAAGGGGGAACGTTTATGGTCTTACATGACGATTTATATGAGATACAAGTGATTGGGGCGTGCTACGAGTGAATAGGGTCAAAACAACTAACGTTATATGCTTTAAAACACCTTGCAAATTCAGGGTGAGGGGGAAATGTATGTACGCAAAAAAACGTAACTGTGGCAGCTAACGGTGGAATGAAGGGGTAGGTACTTATAAGTGAGCTTCTTACCTCCCTAAGTGATCCTGGTGTTTTCCACAGCTGGTAAAAGGCCCCGATGAAGAAGATGAAGATGGGTAAAAGACACATGAGCCAGCCAATCCACTCAGCCCAGCCAGGATAGGGTACGCCATCGTATTTGATTCCATTCCATTGGATGAAGTTAGCCAAAAGGATAGCCTAGTACGACGAAAAATAACACGATTATCAGGCAATAGATCATTTTAAAATTCGTACAAAATAGTTGTGTTTCTTGATTACAGACATCATATACTAACGACTAGCCTCATTTTAGTGTCAGTTAAATATTTACAAATACAGTAAAGTAAGGTAGTAGGAAGGTAGGAAGGCAGGAAGGCAGGAAG